GAAGGAGCTTATCTTGGTGGGCCCAATGTAATCATATGGGTCCTTAAAAGAGATGTGACTATGGGAAAATGGTCAGTGATACACAAAGATGCTAGTTTTGAAGACGGAGAAAGGATTCATAGTCAAGGAGTATAAGCAGCCGTTAGAAGAGAAAACAGATTCTCCCCTAGAGTTTCCAGAGAAGAACATGGTCCTGTCTAATGCCTTGTTTTTAACCCAGTGAGATCTGGGCTTCTGACCACTAGAACTATATGATAAACCTTACTATTTGTGGGAATTCCTTACAGCAGCAATAAAAATTAATACACTACTCTATTTAAAACTGTAAGCCTTCATCTTGTCCTTCTTAATTTTCTTTATAAAATGTATTATCTTCTAATGAAGAAAACCAAAGATTCATGGAAACACTTAATCCTCGTGACTGGTACACCATGCGATCCTCGGCCTATATGACTATGAGACCAGAAGAACTAGATGGTGCCTGGCTGCCACCGTCAACCACTCAGTGAGGGATCTATATAGGAGATCCTGGATAGAGAGGGAGAACAATGTGGAACAAAACTCAAAATCATTTGGAAAAAAAAAAAGGGGAGATCAGGTTTCCTGGTCTGATAGAGCCTGGTGGAACCACTGAGACTATGGTCCCTAGCTGCCTTTCAGGTCTGGAATTGACCCCACACCTGTGCTTTCCAACCAAATAAAAGACAGGCAAAAGAGTTGCACATGCACCTGAGGTAGATACATCCCTTGGAGAGAACAATCATGGGAGAAAGAAGGGCTGTTTATATACAGGAAAATAGTTCAGAGGGCAGGAGTGCATGGAGGGATGGACACAGGGAAGAGCTAACTATCAGGAGGAAGCAGGAGGGGAGGTGTTACATTGGGGTAAACTGTCAATGTCATCAGACAACGTGTGTGTGAACTGCGGGATGAAAAGCGTATTTGCTCTGTAAACTTTCACCCAAATCACAATTTTTCAAAAAAGTATTCTCTTCTAACAAACTTTAAAATTTATTTTGTTCATAATTATAAATTCTGTAAATAAAAATAAACTGCATAAAGGCAAGGATTATCTATTTTGTTTGGTTAGATACTCTTAACATTCAATGGGATTACAAATACATAAGGATGTATGTGTTGGAATCTTAACTCCAAACCTGTGGATATAATCCCATTTGGGGATGTTTTATGTCAATGAGGTCATTTCAGTGTATCCTGTGCCCTAAACCCAATCACTTCTATGTTACAATAAGAGCAGATTCGCCACAGAAGCAAGCAAGTGGGGCAGGGGGAGAACAGATGAACATGAAGACTGCCAAGGAACTGAGGCATGCAGGCGCTACCAGAGCTGAGTCAAGGATCTTCCCCTAAAGCTGACAGAGAGAGCCTTCCCATATAGCAGTGCTCAGAATTTGGACTTCTAGCCTCCTAAATAAGAAGAAGATAAATTTCTGGTTTCATCTACCTGTGGTATTTCTGTTACAACAGCACTAATAAAGTTAGAGATGCAGTAAGAGTTGTGCTAATGATGATGCTGATGGTGATAAAAATGTCATTAATCTTAAAGAAACACTAGATACTTGTGGCTGTTCACAATCAATGACATTTAGATGTAGAGTTATATATTATTATCTCTCAAAACACCTTGTTATTCAATCTCAAGTACTCCTTTTCTGCCCAATTGCAGTAACTTTTATAATTATACAATTTTTAATGACTCAGAAGACACTTCAAACATCTCATTAAGTATTGTGGAGCAGTGAATTACTTACTATGGCTCTTCTAGCCATGGTCTTTGTGGCGCCCACCAGACAACTGGGTGGAACTATGTAAAAGTAAGGTGCTTGTGACCCACCCTAGGGAAGTGAATAGCTTGCTAATAACATAAATAAGGTACACAGCTCCCTGATGGGGATGTGCAGTGCAATGAATTACTTGGTATGGCTTTCCTAGCCCTAGTCTTTGTAACTCCCACCAGATTACTGGGTGGGACCATGCAAATAAGGTATGTAGAACTCTGATGTTGGGATTGGTTAGATCTGTCACTGCCAGGCTTAAAATAAGCCTTCCTAGAGGCAGAGGGGATATCTTCCTGCCATCAAGAAACAAGAGCTGGAGGTGAAGTGGAGCCCATCCTTGGACCTGAGATCCCTGCCCTGGACCCCCCTAGCTGAGAGATATCCTAGCAGAGGGACGGTGGCAGTGGAACCAAGAGGCATGAGACAGAGCGACAGGCTTACCTGGCTCACAGAGGCAGAGGCCAAGCTGAGAGGCCAAGGGCTAGAGAGGTATATGTGAGGGCACAGCAGAGGGGGAGATTATCCTGATCGAAGAATTGTATCCTGAGTGCGTTCCTGAACCTGAATTGTAGCCTGCTACTTCCCTAATAACACCATAATCGTGAGTACTATCTGTGAGTTCTGTGTGGCAACCGCAACGAATTATCAAACCTAACAGAGAAGTAGTCAGTGCCATAAGAGGGACAGCTGGTGTCAGAGTTGGTAAAAAGGCTGGAGGGTGGTGGCATGTCTGGCCTCACAGCAATAAGCCTTGGGCTGCTGATGGTGATTCTGCCTTTCTCCGAGAAGTTAAAGGAGGTCAGAAGATGCCTCCTCCATGTCCTTTTTGAAGTTGGTGTTAGGAATGGGATGGGAGATAAAGGCATGAAGTGGAGGGCTTACACACTTTCATAGGTGTGCTTATTTTTAAACTGATTGTGAAGAGGATGTTAATTTTTTAAGTATAAAAAGGACAACGGCTAGAAAATCCAGGGACTGGCCTGCAGTGCAGTGAATTACTTGGTATGACTTTTCTAGTCGTTGTCTTTCTAACTCCCCCCAGATTAGTGGGTGGGACTATGTAAATAAGGTATGTAGAACTCTGATGTTGGGATTGGTTAGTTTTGTCACTCCGCCAGGCTTAAAATGAGCCTTTCTAGAGGCAGAGGGCGGAATCTCACTGCCATCAAGAGAGAAGAGCTGGAGGTGAAGTAGAGCATGTCCTTGGACCCGAGTGTCCTATGCTGGACCTCTTTGGCAGAGCTGTCCCAGCAGAGAGATGCCCCATCAGAGAGACGGTTGCAGCAGAACCCAGAGGCACGCGCTAGGGTGGCGGGCTTACCTGGCCCACGGAGTGAGAAAGCTGAGTGCCTCTGGACAGGAGGTTTGCTGGTGGAGTGGGGCGCACCTAGGTGAACCTATCGGCATAGCTAAAACAGCTGTGTAACATTTACCCGAGCAGGGCAGAGGCTAGGCCTAGAGGCAAAGGGCAAGAGAGATGTGTCTGAGGGCACAGCAGAAAGGAGACTGTTCTAATTGAAGAACTGTATCCTAAGCACGCTCTTGAATCTGAATTGTAGCCTGTTACTTCCCTAATAAATCCCATAATTGTGAGTATTGTCTGTGAGTTCCACGTGGCCACTGCAACAAATTATCAAACCAGCAGAGCAGTAGTGAGTATCGTGGGAAGGACCATAGTGTCAAAGGTGGCAGAAAGGCTGGAGGGTGGCGGCATGTCTGGCCTCACAGGAATAAGCCTTGGGCTGCTGCTAAAGATCCTGTCTTCCTCTTGTGAAGTTAGAGAAGGTGCAAAGATGCCGCCCCTAAGTCCCTTTTGCAGGATCTCACTGCCATCAAGAGAGAAGAGCTGGAGGTGACGCAAAGTGTATCCTTGGACCCAAGATCCCTACACTAGACCTCCTTGGCAGAGTCGCCCAGCAGAAACAGACTCTTAGGAGAGAGAGATGCCCCAGCAAAGAGACACCCTGACAGAGAGATACAACCCAGCAGAGAGACAGTCGCAGAGAAACCAAGAGACATGAGACAGATCAGCAGGCTTACCTGGCAAGAAAGCTGAGTTCTCTTGGGTAGAAGCCTTGCTGACAGAGCAGGGTATATCCAGGTGTACCTATTGGGAGAGCTGGAAGACCTCTGTAACACTTGCCTGAGCAGGGCAGAGGCTAGGCCAAGAGGCCAAGTGCCAGAGAAGTGTGTCTGAGGGCAAAGCAGAGGGGAGACTGTCCTGATCGAAGAACTGTAACCTGAGCGTGTTCCTGAATCTGAATTGCAGCCTGTTACTTCCCTAATAAACCCCATAATCATGAGTATTGTCTGTGAGTTGTGTGCACCCAAAGCAACAAATTACTGAACTAGCAGAGAAGTAGTGAGTGCCATGGGAGGTATGGTCGGTGTCAGAATTGGTAAAAGGCTGGAGGGTGACAGCATATCTGGCCCCATAGGAATAAGCCTTGGGCTGCTGATAGTGATCCTGTCTTCCTCTTACGAAGTCAGAGAAGGTCAGAAGATGCCACCTAAATGTCCTTTTTTACAGGGTGGGACTGTATAAGTAAGGTGCATGAAACTTTAATATGGGAATTGGTCAGTTTTACCATCTCACTGGCTTAACATGAGTCCTCCCAGAGGTGAGAATCTCACTACTATCAGGAGAGAAGAGCTAGAGGGTGAATGTTCCTATCAGCAGAGCTAAAAGAGCTCCCAAACACTTGCCTGAGCAGGGCAGAGGACAGGACAAGAGGCCAAGGGCTGAAGTGAGTTATGACGCCCACAGGCATGGTAGAAGGGAGGCTATCCTGATTGAAGAATTGTATCCTGAGCATTCCTGATCCTGAACTGTAGCCTGTTACTTCCCTAATAAAACCCATTATTGTAAGCACTATCTGTAAGTTCTGTGTGGCCACTGCAACGAATTATTGAACCCAACAGAGAAGTAGTGAGTGCCGTAGGAGGGACAGTTGGTATCAGAGTTGGTAAAAAGGTTGGAGGGTGGCAGCATCAATTATATATTTTTTAAATTCTTAACATTTTGAATAGAATATCACATCTTATCTACCTCTTTAGAACAGAATCAATACGCACAGTATTTCACTCCTGACGGAAGCTAATGACATTTGAGGATGTCTCAAAATTTGAACTATAAGAGAAAAGCTCATCTTCATTCAAAGCATAAAGAATAGTCTTTTGGTGTTAAGAGGAGTTGCTTACCTGTTCCAGGAGTAGTCGTGGTAACTCCAACAAGAGGACTCTGCATCACTGAAACATTTGCCTATATGAAAACAGAGGAAACCATTACTGGTAAAAATATAAAAGTTCTACCCATAAAATGAACAAAGTAAATTTTGAAGGGCTTCATTCAACAGGTGCTGGAGATGCCTTTAAATAGCTAACACCTAAGAATACTTCCTAACTTTAAAAAAATAAAGTTGAGTGGTGTTAACCTAAAATATATTATTTCTAAAATGCCTAAAATAATATATCTTAGTATATTACTTATTTAAAATAAAAGTAACTCAAACCCACTGCCATTGAGTTGATTCCAACTCATAGCAACTCTCATCAGGTTTCCAAGGCCGTAAAGCTTTACAGAAGCAGATAGTCGTCTTCTTCCCATGGAGTGACTAGTGGGTTCAACCCACCCACCTTTTGGTTAGCAGCACAACACCTTAACCATCTGAGCTCCTTAAGAAAAGTAACAGTTGTTTAAAAAAAAAAGTCATTTTTTAATACAAAGTGGCATGATAGCTACTTATTTTTAGTTCCTAATATGACATTTGAAAAACACCAAGTTCATATAAAATAGAAAGACTTTTAAACAGATACTTGTAAATAATAAAATACTATAGACTCAAAACTGACTACACAATAAAAACAGCATACCTCTCTGCAGTGTAGTAAATTACCTGGTATGACTTTTCTAGTCTTTGTAAACTCGTGGTACAATTTGTCATGAGCAACTGAGTAGCTCCTGATTATTAAAATTATCTACCTGGGGTATTTCTGTTAAGAGTGGCACAAAGCAATCTTCTGGGAAGTTCTCTCTCTCTCAGGTGTATAGAATTCTGATGTTGGGATTGGTTAGTTTGGTCACTCTGCCAGGCTCAAAAGGAGCCCTCCTAGAGGCAGAAGTCTGACTGCTGGCTGAGAAAGACGTGCTGCTAAGAGAAACGTGCTGCTGAGAGAGAGACACCGAGAGACATGCGCTGCTGCGAGAGACACTGAGAGACATGTACTGCTGGGAGAGAGACTGAGACTGTCGTTTGAGAGACAGCAGGCTGAGAGAGACTTAGCGTGTTCCTGAGCTTGAATTGTAGCCTGTTGTTTCCCTAATAAACCCCATAATCTGTGAGTTCTGTGTGGCCATTGCAGCAAATTACTGAACCCAGCAGAGAGGTGGTGAGTGCTGCAGGAGGAATGGTTGGTGTCAGGGTTGGTGAAAGGGCTGGAGGGAGGCGGCATGTCTGTCCTCACAGGAATAGGCCTTGGGCTACTGATGGTGATTTTGTCTTCCTCTTGTGGAGTTAGAGGAGGTCAGAAGATGGGGCCTCCTTGCCTCTTTGGCACTCTCCCACTACCAGCAGAAATTACAAAGCACAAAAATTACCAACGGTAGTCTTCTTTAAACATGAGAAGATTATAGTAGCTAAATATCCTTCTATAAACCAAAACAACAATATCCAATCAAGAATGAGAAAGGACTCTTTCTCTAGAAGTAAATATAGATAGATACAGATTTTTTTTAAGATGCTGATTAAACTTTCTCTAGAAGTAAATATAGATAGATACAGATTTTTTTTAAGATGCTGATTAAACTAAGAAATCTAAAATCTGACTGTATCTAGCAACCAGAACCAAATATGGAGAGAACAGTAGGAGAAATGCACATACAGTACTGCGTTGTCAGTGAAGGCAAACATGAGTATATGGGTGGATAGATGGGTGGACAGGCTGAACTAGTAGATATGTCTATGGAGTGGGCAATGTACCCAAGAACTTGTATAGGGTTGGCAGACAACAGTCCTATAAGTTTATGTGTATGATCTAAATTCTCAGTTGTGCAGTAGAGCTGACAAGAGGCAAGGTGGTAGTCATTGCCTGGTCACAGCCAGCTACCCAGAGGGACTGAGTAGTTGAACCTGTGGGCTCAGGACCATAGTCACAAGGGACATCAAGTTCCACTGGCATAACGTATTACACAAAACACTGTTCCACCTCCTACTTTGGCGAGTAGTGACTGTGATCTTAAAAGCTTGCAAGCTGCCATCTACATGCAATGATGGGTCTCTCCTCATCCAGAGCAAAGAAGAATTAAAAAAAAAAAAAAATTCATGGATACAATCAGTCCTAGTGAATGGTACACCATCCAATCTGCAGCCTATATGATTATGAGACCAGAAGAACTAGATGGTGCCTGGCTACCAATGTCAACCACTTGGAAAGGGATCTACGTAGGAGATCCTGGATAGAGAGGGAGAACACTGCAGACAAAACTCAAAATGATTTGGAGACAGAAAAGGGGGGGGACCAGGTTTGCTGCTCTAACAGAGCCTGGTAGAACTACTGAGACTATGGCCCCTAGCTGCCCATCAGGTCTGGAATTGAACCCACACCTGTGGCTTCCAGCCAAGCAAAAGACAGGCATAGGAGTTGAACATTTACCTGAGGTAGATACAATCATGGGAGAAAGAAGGGCTACTTATGCACCAGGAGACAGCTCAGGGGGCAGGAGGCATGGAGGGATGGACACAGGGAAGAGGTAATTATCAGGAGGAAGTGGGAGGGGAGCTGTTGCATTGTGGTAAACTACGGTCAATGCCATGAGACAAAGTGTATGTGAACTGCTGTAAGGAAAATGAATTTGGTGTGTAAATTTTCACCCAAATCACAATAAAAAAAAAAAAATTTAATTAAAAAAAAAAGACACTAAACTTCCTACTTAAAAGAAAAAGCCATACTACCTTGAGCTCATTATCTAGAATTATTACAGTAATATTAGCACAGCAAGGCTATTACAAACACTGGCTCTAGATTCAAGACTACTTGGGTTTGAAATCTGGCTCTACTATGTATAGATGTCTTACGTTTAACAAATTAAATCTTTCTGTGTTCTAGTTTCCTCATTAGTAAAATGAAGCTTACAACACCTACCTCATAGAACATTTGTGAGGATTAAATGAGATAATGCAAGAGGAGTTTTAAGATCAGGACCTGTACACTGTTAAGCACTCAGTGAAGTATTAGACACTTTCTGGCTACTACCAGTCCCATCAGAATAGATAATCTTCTACACTGCATAATCTATGACTGAAAAAAACACCATCAGAACACCTACACCAAAAGCAGCAGGAACATACTAGATTATTAGCTTGTACATAAACAAGAGGCAGCTTTTTCAGTAAAATAAGAAAACCATGAACAAAGTTCTAAAAGGATACTGGTCAAGTACGAATACAAACCATTCCTAAACAAAGATCTCAAATTATTACATAGTGTCCTATATTTGGATAAAACCCTGAATCTTCATTTGTTCTTTCATAGACTTATGTATAAATGTTAAACATTTTTAACAACTAGAATGACAAATGATAGTCATAATCTACATGCATATTAATATTAAGTAAGTTAGGATCATGGGAAGAAACCCTGGTGGCACAATAGTTAAGTGCTTGGCTGCTAACAGTTCAGTGGTTGGCAGTATGAACCCATCCAGCTGCTCTGCAGGGAAAAAAACCTAGAGATCTACTTCCATGTAAGTTATAGCCAAGAAAACCACAGGGCAGTTCTACTTGGTCACTATGATTCAGAACGGACTCAAGGGCACCCAACAAAAACAAGAGTTATGGGCAGGTGGAGAAAGCATACCAGTACAAACCATAAATTACTCATATGAGAAAATAATCTGAGTTCTACTACATTTTTAAGCACACTTCATAATAAACACAATTTAAGCAGATTCTATAATAAATGTAAGGAGCTCTGGTAATACAGTGGTTAAGCCATCTGGCTGCTAACCCAAAGGTCAATGGCTTGAACCCACCAGCTGCTCCATGAAAGTAAGATGAGGGAAGATGCTTCTATATTTACAGCCTTGGAAACCCAATGAGGGTTGTTATGAGCTGGAATCGTCTCGACAGCAGTGAGTTTGGTTTGGTTTTTTGGATAATAAATGTACTTAATTCTTTTTCTGTGAAATACAGTTACACTAAAATACTGTAAACCATATGAAAGCACTTCATATTATTGACTCAGTGTACGGTCACACAAAAACATGAATTATAAATCATCAGGGTACATATATCACCTGTCTTCTTGAAATTAAAGGTGTTGATCCAAGTCCTGGGCTGGAAATGTCATCATATATACTTCTAACTGGTGGAGCTCCACTTTTATCTTTATGAGCTGGTACAATTGGTTGTGGTGGTGACCCACCTATATGTACAAAATACACAGTCAGATAAAAAAACAAATGAATGTTCCATCATTTCTGATAGGTTTTTTAATTTATATATCTAAAATACTGGCTTAAACTCTTATCTCCTGGTGCTTCCCAAACTTGCATGTGCAGAAAGAATCACCTAGAGATCTCATTAAAATTCAGATTCTGATTTCAAAAGTCTGGGATGGAACCTAAGATTAAGAATCTCTAATAAGCTCCAAGTGATGCCCATGCAGTTGATCCAGACTGCACTTTGAATAAAAGGTTCCAGAACAAGTAGTTAACATAAACTATTTATTTTTAGGAAACACATATAACCTCTGCTTTCTCTATAAGATGTTTTAAATCTTCAAAAAGAAAATAGTTTGATCTTACTCCTTAGTTGGAAATAGATATTAAATCACTCCAGGTTATGTACACTTAAATAAGTATACCAAAAAACCAAAACCCGAGAGGCGGGGCAAGATGGCGGACTAGGCAGAAGGATTGCACAGACCCTCTTCAACAAAGAAAAGGGAAACCAATTAACACAGAC